AGCAGGAGGAGGATTACAAATTTCTCTCTGCTCACCTGCCTATCAAGTTTTGTCATGGCTGAAGTGCCCAAAGGTAAGGACAAGCAAGTGCCTCACTCTGTCCCTAACTGATGAGGAAGGCAGGAGGCTAGATAGTATCATCTGCTACCATATGTCGCAAGGTATGGCATGTTACCAGTATTCTTAATGGGAGAAAATATCACCTGCACATGACCACCTGTCAAATGATGCAAGCAGGCCTCCACTGTTTTTCAGGATGAACCCAATCTGACCCTTTTGCATGAAGTGGGTTCTCTCCTGTAGGAAGAGGAGATAGAAACTATTTCATTATCTCAAAGGAGCCCATGGTTCTACTCCAAACACTTTACTTACTATCCCACAAGAAGAAGAAGGTCTTCATCCCATTCTTGACCTCAGTAGCATCAACGGGTAAATCGACCTGAAGAAGTTCATGATGGTGAGCCTAGTTCATTTCTATCTTCCTGTAGGACATGGCCACTACTGGTACAAGGCAGTGCTATTCAGCCTCACTGCTATGCTGAGGGTTTTCACTGTGGTTGCTGCACATATTCAGCATTGAGGGATTACAACCTTCATTTATAGCAGTCTGGCTTCTGATTCGACCTTCTTGTCTTTCCTTCCTTCATTACGTGGGAACTACTCTGCATATTCTGCTTTGCTAGGGTGAAGCAGGAGAATCCTCATCTGCACTCCACAAGAACAGTTCAATTCATTGGGGCATTTTTAGACTTCATCTGGGGGACAAGCGGCACCATTGTCAACATTACATTTCACTTTCTTTACAAACCAACGCAGAAAGTAAGGCCGTTTCAGGGGCTCACAGTGACCTCTAATGTCATGGTGCGTTTTGCAGGATTGCAGATGAGATCTGTATGGGGCCGGTCCAGCAAGAACCTCCGTCGGCAGGGCTCTCAAGAGAAAGTTTTCAAACACCCCACTTGCATGTTTATTACCTCTGATGGTGGACTTGCCATATTGAACCACAGTGCTCCCTTTGCCCTTGCAGACAGTTCAATTCATTGGGGCATTTTTAGACTTCATCTGGGGGACAAGCGGCACCATTGTCAACATTACATTTCACTTTCTTTACAAACCAACGCAGAAAGTAAGGCCGTTTCAGGGGCTCACAGTGACCTCTAATGTCATGGTGCGTTTTGCAGGATTGCGGATGAGATCTGTACGGGGCCGGTCCAGCAAGAACATGCGTCGGCAGGACTCGCAAGCGAAAGTTTTCAAACACCCCACTCGCATGTTTATTACCTCTGATAGTGGACTTGCCATATTGAACCACAGGGCTCCCTTTGCTCTGCCCTTGCAGTACTTACTGTGAGCTACTGGCACTAAAGTTGTGAGTGAGGGATTTGGCTACTGCATAAATCAGTTTGCTCTGGAGCCATCCTTCCTGAGCTAAGACAAAAATCTGTAAGCTGGGGGCTAAAAAACTATGAGCTAGCTCACACTAACTCAGCTTAGAGGGAACACTGCTCACAAGTGAGGCTTCCTTCTGGGGATTGGGGGCCCACTGTTGCAGGGAAACCATCAATCAACCTTCTTCTCCACTAGAAAGGAAGCTCTGTTATCAGTCACCGACAGCAGCTAGTCTACAAGTGACAGTTCCTTCCTTTCCAGGCTGCAGGGCAAAGTAGTATAGATGGTCAGACAACACAGCCGCCATGTATTACATCAGCAAAACATGGCAGAGCTTACTCTGTCACCCTCCTTCATACGGACTGCATCAACTTTGGTTTACCAAGTGCCTCCAGGTGGCAGGGGAAACATCCATTGTCTGCCCAACATTCCAGATCTCCTGTCACAAAACACAGCAGGATCCTGTACACAGACACTTGAACCTAGTGGGTGGGCAGATACAACTGCGCACCTATAACCTGATGTCATAAAAAACGGTTCTCCTGAATTCCGGGAAGCTTTCTATCATACAGTCCTATGAGTGTAGATGAAAGTAATTTTGCTTCTTAAAAGATGTGGGAACCATCCACTTGTCTTCTGACTTCCATCAAGAGTACACGCTCCTTCTCCATTGTCTAGAATTGGCATGCTTATCTCTTACAGCCCATCTGACTGTCATGTCCGCTTCTTAGCCTCTTGTACAGAGCCATTCAGTCTTCACTCAGCCCCTAGTGATGTAATTCAAGGCTCTTGTTCACCTACAGTTTCCAGTCAAGCATCCTGGGAGCGACACCTTGCCCTAACTCAGTTGATGGGCAAGCCATTGAAGCCCTTGGCCACGTGTGATCTACAGCTCCTCTTTGTAACAGCGTTGTTCCTAGACGCAGTCTGTTTGGCAAAGATGGCCAGTGAACTCTGCACTCCTTGCTTAGACCCTCCTTACCTATAAAATCAGCAATGATAAGGTGGCCCTTCACCCAGTTATCAGTTTTGTACATAAAGCTGATTTTGAGGTTGTATATGAACCAGGATTTTGTCCTTTGTCACTGTTCCCAGCTGCAGCCTCAGAAGCAAAGAGGGCTCTCCATTCTTTGGTTTGTGTGCTGCATAAAACTGCCTCCTTCAGACAAAACTCAGACCTCCTCTCATGCCAAAAAGAAGGGTGACAGTGTCCTTGCACTGCTTCAGTTACTGGATGACCGAGGCCATCAAGCCTGCTTTGAAGTGCCTTTCAGTCCTCTTCCTGGGACCTGGAGCTCATTCTGCCTGAGCTGTTGCCACATCTTTCATTTTTAGCAGGAGGAAATCTGGGGGTGATCGCACAGATTGTAGCACAATTTGGTATTCGACTGTTCCATTCATCTAATCCTCATTGTCTTGTCCTTCCCTTCCATTGTTCTGCAGGTAGATGTCTCTGTTCTTCACTGTTCCCACCGTGTCATTGTTGGCTCTGCACATATATCATGGCTCTGCATTCATGTTTGCTATCTTTGTCATGTCAAGCTGTTAATTTCTACACAACTCATCTCATTTCCTAAATTATCAGTTCGCCGTTTTGTAAATTCACCCAGTCCTGTATTTTTCTTTCTGCCATGTTGATTTGTTACCAAATCTGTATCTACAAAACCCAAATTCTTTTAAAATCCCTTCCTCCTTAGACCACGAAATTCTTAGCTGTTTTGTGTTATCAGGAGATAACCTGTTACTTGTCCCATATTTTCATTGTAATTCTCTGTTACTGTCTTATGTTCTCTGCTGTGGCGAGCAGTCATGTAACTTACTCTGTATACCAAGCGCAAAGTTGACAGTAAAATATACTTACTTACGTGAGACCATAATTTATGTTCTGATCAGAGAGGACTAAATTGCATGCATCTTAAATTTGTGTTTTTTCTTTTTTCTTCCAGAGAGCAAATTTTAAGAGTAAAAGAAGATGAAAATGTTCCATTTTTGCTAGTTGGTAACAAATCAGATTTGGAAGATAAAAGACAGGTTTCTGTAGAAGAAGCAAAAAACAGAGCTGATCAGTGGAATGTTAACTATGTGGAAACGTCTGCTAAAACACGGGCTAATGTTGACAAGGTACAACTGCAACTTTTCCAAACACATTTTTATGAACTTCTGGTATTGCTTTCACTTTTAAGTGCATCATTCTTGTCAGAGCTAGTGAACTATGTGGTGGTTTCCTCACAAATCACATATGAATGACTCCTGCAATGACTTACTCATGGATCACTCATCCTTCAAAATGAATATTTTGACATATATGAGTGACTGGTAAACATATATGAGTAACAGCAAGTTTCTTCTGTGTTCTGTGGACTTGATTTACTTTGTTTATGCCCCACCTTTGGACCCAGATCAGCTTGTGTTGCTCTCCTCTCCTTCATTTCATCTTATCAACCCTGTCAGGTAGGTTAGGCTGACAGTATAGTATACAAACTGGCCACGATCACCCAGCAGACTTCTACAGGAGAGTGAGGGTTTGAACCCGGGTCTCCCAGCTCCTAGTGCAGTGATCCCCAACCCTTTCCAGCCTGCGGGCACCTGTGGGCTTCTGACGCAGCATGGTGGGCACAGCCACAACATGGCTGCCGTAGGAGGCGGAGCCTTGTGCTGTGGTGGCAGCTGCTGCCAATCAGAAGCCTTGGTGGGCAAAAGCCCCGCTCACTTTCTGAAAATGCTTAGCAGGCACCAGGAAAGGTGTTGGCAGGTGCCAGAGCACCCATGGGTGCCACATTGGGGACCCCTGCCCTAGTCAGACACTCAAACCACTATGCCATGTTCATCTGTTATTCATTATTTCCATTTATGCTGATTGTTTGTGTCAGGTATGTGTGGTGTTAATCCTAATTTTGGAGTAGTTGGTGGCAGTTCTCCACAGGGTTGGTTCTGATTTTCTTCAGTCACAGGAAATATGACTGAAAGCATAAGCAAACTGGGCTGGAGCTGTGGACAAGGAACTAGTGGCTTTCAAGACCTGTCAGTTGCCCTGCAGTATTCAGATTCTTGAATAATTTGAGTGTACAGTACCCATGAAGAATATTGGTGCAATTGACTGGAAGTCTGGCTTTGAGGTACATAAGAGTGGGATTTAATCTCCTTATTCAGTGCTGGATGATTAATCAGGGACAAAGCTTTTTGTCTCATTTTTTAAAATTACAGATCTTTCGTATCGCCACAGTCTTGTGGTTTGATGTACTAGCTCTTGCCTTGAAGAAAATCTGCTGTTTGAATGTCAGAAGGTTAAGGGGCTTAGTGGCTTAATATGCAAACCTCTCCTTTCTGACCTACATATGGACCTGACTGCATAACAGGGAAGTCCTTTTTAAAAACTCACATGTGAGAAACTGGGTCAGCAAAATGTGACTTGGTTTAGTTACTCTGAATGTTGCAATGCTGTATTGTTACCAACTGTACTGTGGTAACCACTGTTTCCTAGAAGTTTGTTTTTTAACTGGTAACTGGAGCAACAAACAGGTTCTTTAGTCTCAAGTGTTTATTTCCGGTGTTTGTTTATTCTACTTATATCCTGCCCTCTCCGCTGAAGTAGGCTCAGGGCAGCTTGCATAAAATCTTAAAACACATAAAATACAAAATTAAAATCACAGTTGATCATGACAACTAGAGCCATCCTAAAATGCTGAGATGCTAGAGCTAATCTTAATAATAGTGAAATTATAATAGCGGATGCAACAGGAGATGTTAGAGTAGTCATCGGGAATTAACATAGTTGTGACTCAGCTTATTCTATCCAATTTTGCTGGCAGCTCACATTGCTGGTAATAAATTCAGGGGGTGGGCCTAACCAGTTAAGTGCGGCTCCTAATTAAAAGCCTGGTGGAAGAGCTTTGTCTGTAAAAGGTCCCGCAGGGCCCTGGTGTCTTCTGGGAGCTCATTCCACCAGTATGGAGCCGCTACTGAGCAGGCCCTGGTTGAGGCAAGCCTGACGTCTTTAGGGCCAGGGAGGGTCAGTGCCCTCTGGGGAACATATGGGGCTAGGCAGGTCGCTGGTCGGTATGCAGGTTGTTGGTCAGGTATGCAGGTCGCTGACCATATATGGCTTTAAAGGTAAGAACCAGCACCTTGAAGCGAATTCGGTGTGCTAGCGGCAGCCAGTGCAATGCTTTTAGCACAGGTTGGATGTGCTCCCACATGGGGAGACCCGTCAAAAGTCTGGCTGCAGCATTTTGCACGCTGTAGCTTCCAGATTTGCGCCAAGGGCAGCCCCATGTAGAGAGCGTTATAGTAGTCCAATCTCGAGGTGACTATCGTGCGGATCACTGTTGCTAGGTCATTGCATTTGAGGAAGGGAAACAACTGCCTAATCAGCCAAAGATGGTAAAAGGCCGACTTGGCAATGGCTTCTACCTGGGCCTCCATTGACAAGAAGGCATCTAGGAGCGCTCCCAAGCTCCTAACCTCCGGTGCTGGCACCAACGGCTCCCCATCGAAGGTTGGGAGTGGGATCCCTAACTCCGGACCACTCCGATTCAGGCACAGGACCTCCATCTTCATTGGATTCAATTTCAGTCAGCTCAGTCATGGCTTGTAACGCTAGGTCTGGATCTTCCAGTCTGGAGTCAGACTGGCCACCCAACATCAGATAGAGCTGGGTGTCATCTGCATACTGGTGACATCCCAGCCCATGCCTCCGGGCAATCTGGGCAAGGGGGCGCGTATATAGATGTTGAATAACATTGGGGAAAGGCAGACCCCTGGATCCCAGCATCAGTGAGGCGGTGTACCAGTAGCTGATGGTCGACTGTATTGAATGCTGCCAATAGCTCCAACAGCAACAGCACCGCTGATCCACCTCAATCCAGATGTCTCTGGAGGTCATCCGTAAGGGTGACCAGTGCAGTTTCCGTCCCATGGCCTGGGCAAAAACCAGACTGGAAAGGATCTAACATGGAGGTGTCACCCGTAAAGCTCTGCAGCTGTAACGCCTCCGCTCACATTCAATTTTTTTGCTCAAGTAGGGTAAATTGGAAACTGGCTGGTAGTTTGCCAATTTGGCTGGATCCAGAGATGGTTTTTTTAGGAGAGGGCGAACCACCGCTTCCTTGAGTGCTTTTGGGAAATGTCCCTTGGAGAGGGACTTGTTGATGATCTCCCTTAAGGCACCTTGGAACACCTTGGCCAGCTTTAGTTAGCCATGACAGCACGGATCGAGGTCGCAAGTGGTGGGGCGAACAGTTGAGAGCAATTATTCGACCTTCTCTAGGCTGATCGGACTGAAATAATCCAAAACCTGACTCGAAGATGCGCATGGAGCCTCGAGTTCACTCACTGTTTCACTTGTGGTGGGGAGATCACGGTGGAGCGACAAGACCTTATCTGCGAAGTAGCTCGCAAAAGCCTTACAGCCAATATCCAATTCTCTAACATTTGGTCTGTCCTGTGGCAGAGTAGTCAAGGACCTAATCGTTCTAAACAATTGGGCTGGGTGTGAGCTCGCAAACGCAATTGGGGCCGCATAATATTCTCTCTTGTTCAGGCTTGTATTAGACAGTCCTAGTTCACTCGGCATTTAAGCAAAACCATTCTGAACCATGCTTGTTTTTGTCACATGTAAGTAGTCTAGCAAGCTTCTCATTTGTAGGGTCACAATCTCCTGAGCTTTCATGGGGGTGTTACATTTTTACGAAGTATGCTTAGCCTACTTTTTTGTGCTTTATTGGATTCAAAATGGGCCGCAGGTATATATTCATAAATAGGTTAAAGGATTCTAAGACAGGTAGGCATTCTACATTCTATCACTTTCAGCAAATGGAGAAAGGTTTGTATGAGACCTTAACATGGACTTGGGCATGCCAAAATTAATATAGTATGGGGCTTCTGGGATTTAAATAACTGCACAGAGGGGTGGGTTCCATTCTGTAATTGCAGTACAGTGTTTTCGCAATCTAGAGAGACAGTTTGTGTTGTTCATGGTTTCTAAGGAATTATACTAGAGGAATAGGAAAAGAGTTTCAAAATTCCAGTCACCATGGGGGAAAGGAATGGGGGTAGACCCTCTGGCTTACGAATTAGTTAAAAATGCAGTTGGAGACCTGATGTCATGCAATATCATGTTCATGCGTGTGTACTGACATCTGTCTTGATCTTTCTAGGTATTTTTTGACTTGATGCGAGAAATTAGAGCAAGAAAGATGGAAGACAGCAAAGAGAAGAACGGGAAAAAGAAAAGAAAAAGCCTAGCCAAGAGGATCAGAGAAAGATGTTGCATTTTATAATCAAAGCTCCACATTCTTTTCCCTATTTTGACCATCCTAATAAAATCCATAACTTATAAAGCATGCCATTTGAAGGCTCCTATGACTGAAATTACTCTTAACAGTTTGGGAATTGTAGGGTACCACTTAAACTTGTACCACTTAAAGCATGAATTGGGACAGCACTGAAAGTATTTCACTGAAAGTTTTTAATGTGGCTTCAAGAGAAGCAGAATTCATCCCATTTCATAATTGGTTGCCTCTCATCATGGTTCTTCTGAATGTAGAGTATTTCCCATGGGCAGTCTGTCCTGAACTGTAAACAAAAACTTTTAACTTTCTATGGCTTCTCCTAAAGTGTACACTTTTATATCACCAAATCTTCACTTTTTGTCTTCTACTGCCTTGAAAACTACTGCGGTGGTCAAAAACTAAGCAAAGGTTTGTTTGTTTGTTTTTGCTATTATAAGATTATGCAAATTAGAGAAGAGAACTGGGCTTTGTTCTCTGATGCTTCTATCGGGAGTCATTTATACATGGAATTAGCTTAGGCAAGTAGTATGTAGACTCATATGAGGATATTTGAATATGCCTTAATTTAAAAAAAAAAAAAACCCTAAAAAAAATTGATGTAGTCACGGGTGTAGCTTCATTGTGATGCACTGAGGTGTCTGCATCATTCTCTGAAATTATATCCTTTAGGCTGGAGTGCAGTTTGTGAGTAACCTTGCAAACTCACGGTTTGCTAGCAGTATCTCTGGTCAGAAAAGTGTGCCATACTCTGGGTCGGGAAAGCAATCCAGAGCATACTGTTACCTTTGATTTAGTGAAGAGAGCTTAGACTTGAAAGGGCCAACATAACCCATGTACATGATTGGACACTTAGATTTAAAAGTGAAGAGGGTGGTAGAGCACACTTCATTCTGAACGGAACGTGTCTGTCTTAACGTGCACACATTCTGAACCTGTCCTCTGGCAATTACTGAATGCCTAGACACTTGGGAAGATTATTTCTCCAGGACTGGATATGCAGTGTGAATTTTCAGTCTTCGGAAATGAGGTCGTCTTTGGGATGTCTGGGAACTTCTGACCGTTTCCCTTCCTTATGATCCTCATTCTAAGCCTTTGAGAACATGGTGTAGTGATGCTAAAACCGTTATCTGTTCATTTCTTAGTGGGAAAAAGCTTTTTGGCTACTTCTTGCTAGCTGATATTGAACAATCAGTCCTACTTAGCACTACAGAAAGATTTACAGTGTGCTTCCAGTACTTCTCATCAAGACATTGAAAATAGGTTGTCATCAAAACTCCAATGCATTTGAAAATACTAGCACAATGTTAGTATGTGGAATTGAGCTAAAGATGTTAGTATCTTTTGAGGCTTTGAAGCCTTTTTGGAGGAAAGTTGGATCAGTTCCAAATAAACTTTTTATATACCTGTGTAAACTTAAACTGACAGTTGAAAGTGTGTCTGAGTAAACTAGACAACACGTGTATGTAACATGCTAACAAGTAGACGTTAGGAACGTGGCTCTCTAGAAAACACTCTTTGTTAATATAAGGAATTTTTTTGTATGTACATTCTCCAGTAGATGCTACCATGTGCGGAATTAGTTTCTTGATGTGCCTGGCCAAGCAGGTTGGTCCTCATTTTAGTGTGTATCCATTTCCAGTCTATTTAACCAGGGAGTTTAACCACTAACATTGTGATGTTGTTTGTGTAATGGGAACCAAGGTGTTATGAAGCCAATGGACACACAGAAATAATTGTCATAGGCTGATGCCTTATCAGATTCTTTTTATTTGCTATTTGAGCCATTGACTATGAATAAACTTTCATTTTTAAAAAAATGCTTGTGGAATGCTGATTACAAAAAATAACGTTTCCATTCTAGTAGAACAACTTTACCTTTTCTGTCAAACTTGTCCAGTGCATAAATTGTATTGAATCTCGTAGCTGCAAGGCTGTATGGCAGGGGCTGTACCACTGGTTCTTCAGAGAGGGAGGCCCTTAACTGTCAGTTTGTCTGTAGAAACTAGTATTTCATTTGTATCCCACTTTTCACCCTAGTGAGGACCAAGAGTGACTTACAACATTCTCCCTTCCTGTCCTTTATATCCTCACAACAGCCCTGTGAGGTAGTCAGGCTATAAGTAATATGTGCTTACACTTGGCAGAATGCTCTGCAAACAGTTGTTACCCTGTACAGCTCCTTGCTTTTGCCTGAGGCCCCTTCTTGACACTTTTCCCAGCCAGAACAACTGAATTTCATTCCAACATCACAACTGAAACCAATTGCAAACTAAACTGTAATCTATACAAATGCACCCTAATTTCCACTGGATTTTTAGTGCAGAATGTGCTGCAGACCTTGGTTAAAAAAAAAGCATAAGGTAAAACAGTGGCCTAGATGCTTTGTTGCTACAGTGGCCCTGGGAATAGAGTGGTGGTGTTAAGTGTATCATACTGGTATAGTGTTACGAACTATATGAAACAAATGTTTTAATCACACCTATTTTAGGCAGAATTATGACATTGTAAAAGAGTATTATGCACGGTTTCAATGCTAAATAAGGAATGCTTCCCCCACCTACCCAGTGGACATGGATTCTGCAATTGCTCCTGGGTGTAGTATAGACTATTGACATTCACAGGAGCAGAAAGATGCCCCTGGCTGAACATGGATTCACTTGCACATATGTGACCCTTCAAACCTACATGTTCAACCAGGCTTTGCTTAAATCAACCTTCTTGCTAAATAGACCATTCCTATGTTACAAACCAGTGTGTAGTAGGCACTGCCTATGACCATGACAAAACTGTTTCTGATGCAAATGATATGGCTGGCACATTATGCTCATGAGCTGCTCTGACCGCTCATGGTCTTTGACCAAAAGAGTTCAGGGTCCCCTTATCTCTATCCCTTGTAAAACAATTGGGTTTTACTGATGAAGGAAATGAGAGTAAATGGGGGGCAGGTTTAAAACAAGGAAAGAGCGCATAGTACTGGGAGACAGTGTATCAAGATTCATAACTCCAGCCGCTTTGTAATACAAGACCCAGTCTGGGAGCGCTAAACCTCCTCTGTTTTCTTTCTTGAAGATATTTTAACTTTATCCTCGGTCTTTTCTGTTATGAGTTGGATAAGGGAGTGGATCGTACAGGAAGATAAAAGAATACTGAGTCTGGAGGGGCATAACTTACAGATGGGGTGGCATTTTTATTTATGGTATAGTAAACCACCCCTTTCTACGACCTTTAAGCAACATACGATTCGGGCAGCACTTTATAAAATTTGGGAGGAAATAAAAGTGAAACAATATACAAAAATTCCTCGATGGCTCTCGCCTATAGAGACCTTTGCAGTTCCATCACTTTATACCAAGTACCCAAATTGGAGATATGAAGATATTTTAGATTCTAAGGGAGTAATACTTTCGGATAGACTCCTAAAAGAACAAGGGACTAACCTAACATGGTGGGAAAAAAATCAAATGATGTCAAGATGGTCAAGAGAAGATAAACAAGTGGGTATATATGAGTCGAAAACGGAGCTCGATAAGATCTGGTTAGGTACAAAAGAAAAGTTTATTAAAAAAGCCTACAATTTTTGGCTAGAATGGAAAATGGATGACGAACAGGTGAAACCATCGATGTTAGCCTGGATGTGAGATATAGGCTATCCTATAAATTTTGAACAATGGGATAAAATTTGGATGAGAAATATAAAGATGGTTAGATCGAGTGCTTTGAAAGAAAATGTAGTAAAGATGTTTTATAGGTGGCATATCTCCCCCGCCAGATTGAATAAATTTAATGAATTAGGAAAGTATTGTTGGAAATGCAAACATAGCATTGGCACGTTTTACCACATGTGGTGGTCATGCTTGAAAGTTAAAAAATATTGGCGGCTAGTGAAAGAAATGCTGGATAATAGGTAAATACATTCCTATGACCCCAGAATGCTTTTTGTTAAATGTGATACTTGATACTTTTCTGAAAAAGATATATTTAATAATGCAACTCTTGACAGCAGCGAGAATTGTACTGGCCAAGAAATGGAAGGAGGAGAATATTCCTTCCAAAGAGGAGATTATTTGTAAAGTATTCGAAATAGCAGAGTTGGGAAAACTAACTTGTGTTATTGAAGAAAAGAGTGAGGAGAAATTTGAAAAGTATTGGTTAAATTTTTATAACTGGTTGCAAAGTTTGGTTTAAATTAACTGATTATGGCAAATGGTAGAGTGCATGGGATTTTTATTTTAAATGATTTGAGGATATCTGCAAAAATAAATTACGGTCTAGAGCTGTTTATGTTTTTTCTTTTTCTGTATATAAAATGTGGAAAATTTAATAAATAAAATATTTTTTTAAAAAAAGATTCATAACTCCACTTGCATCTTGGAAGCTCCCCTTTAAATCACAGCTTCATACGATGCTATATTTCTAATATTCTGAAGATTTTTAAAATCTAGATTCCCCATTGATGAAGGAGAAAATTAGAATAGAAACACCCACGCTGTGGGACAAATGACACTGCTGAAAGAAGTGAACAGCAGCATGGCTACCCTGATCTTGTCAGAGCTTGGAAGCCAAGCAAGGGTCGGCCATAATTACTACTTGGATGGGAGACCACCAAGGAAGACTAGGGCTGCTAAGCAGAGGAAGCCAGTGGCAAACCACCTCTGATCATCTCTTGCCTTCCAACCCCATGGTCCTCGGAGGTCACCATGAGTTGGTTGCGACTTGAAGGCACACAATAATTAAGAAGTAAATTCCATTTATAAGTAAACTCCATTAACTGTTCAGGCAATTCTAAACCTTTTAGAGTGCTTAAAGACAGGGCTATTTTTGGGCAGGAACGCACAGGAACGGAGTTCCGGCTGTCTCCCGAGTTGGCCACACCTGGCAGGAACTCATTAGCATAATAGGCCACACCCAACAGTAGAAACTCATTAGGATTGGCTACATTAGGGGTGTGTGGCCTAACATGCAAAGGAGTTCCTGCTCCAAAAAAAGCCCTGGGTTTTGACAACAAACAAGGTAAACAGAATAAGAAGCAAAAGGTGGGTGTGGCCGGATGACCACACTTCTGGTAACATGGGGTGTGACCTAATATGCTAATGAGCAGTGCTGTCAAGGGTGTGGCCTAATATGCTAATGAGTTCCTGCTGGGCTTTTTCTACAAAAAAAAGCCCTGCTTAAAGATATTGCACCAAAACATGGCTACTACATTAATTTGGATCTAGTTCAATGTATTATGCTTATTGTAGAGCAGAATGAAATGAAATTGTTCCTGTGGAGAAGTGAAAATGAATTATGGCCTGACTTCCTGGTTCAGTGCCTGTGGGTTGAGAGACCTTGTTCTGCGCATCTGAACAGACATCGATTAATGCTGCTGGAAATCCAGAAACCATATAGTGGACATAGGTGTACACACAGAGTGACAAACTTGGGCTTAATCCCTCGGATTTTAAACAAATTTAGTAAGACAAGACCTTGTGCTCCATAATTCTACGGCGATAGCGTGCTGTTGTTTGGATTCAGGAGTCACATCAATGGATTACTGAAGATCAGTGTGCTTTTCTAGCCTGTGGCATACATCAGTGCTATCAGGTCCCAAAAGAGATTGTTGTGAAAGAGGTCTCCAGGGTTTGGCAGGAATTCATTAGGTTAGATCCAATTTCCTTTCCTCCCTCCTTCCACTACAGCCCACAGATCTCCTCAAAAGGCTGCTCCTGGAGGAAGGGCTCTGGATAGATGGATGGGGGTGGGTGGGTTGTAGGGTCACTTTTGAAAGGAAGTATAATTTATAACTCTTGCTGAAACTAAAATACAGTGCCATCTGCTGGCTATGATAACTTATAACTGCCCGGATACCCTTTGCTGAGGAATATCAGAATTAACGTACTGGAATTAGGTTAGATCCAGCTTTGATAGACAACTGTTAAATATCTACTTGTGTTACAAAGAAACCCATAATCATCTGCTTGCCTGTGCCAAATAACTGTTCCAAGCAGTTGGGCAAGAATTTTTTTTATAAACCACAAGAAATGCTTTGCCTGTTAGGTTGTTTACCAATTTTGGCAGAGAATTTAAAGGCACAGCACGAGTCTCATCAGCAGCATGTTACCTTAAGTGAGTCTGTCATCAAGATCTCATTTCAGCTTGTCTTGCTGAAGCCCCATAGCATATTTCCTTGGGCCAGTTAAAAGAAAAACGAGGCCGCCTTTCTGTTTTTGTTGTTCAGTCGCACAGTCGAGTCCGACTCTTTGCAACCCCATGGACCACATCATGCCAGGCCCTCCTGTCTTCCGCCGTCCTCTGAAGTTTGCTCAATTTCATGTTCATTGCATCTATGACACTGTCTAACCATCTCATCCTTTGCCGTCCCCGTGTTCTTTGACCTTCAGTCTTTCCCAGCATCAGGGTCTTCTCCAGTGAGTGCTCCTCATTTGGTGGCCAAAGTATTTGAGCTTCAGCTTCAGTATCTGGCCTTCCAGTGAACAGTCAGGGTTGATTTCTTTTAGGATTGACTGATTTGATCTTCTTGCAGTCCAAGGGACTCTCAAGAGTCTTCTCCAGCACCATAATTATTCTTCGGCACTTGGCCTTCCTTATACTCCAACTGTCACAGCCATACATGACTACTGGGAATACCGTTGCTTTGACCATACGGACTTTGGTTGGCAGGGTGATGTCTCTACTTTTTATCATGCTGTCAAGGTTTGCTATTGCTTTCCTCCCAAGGAACAGGCGTCTTTTAATTGCATGGCTGCAATCACTGTCTGCAGTGATCTTGGATCCCAG